GAAATTATATTTCATATTTCTTTTCTAAGATTGTTTTTAATGGCGTCTGAATGTTTTATTACATTTGGAAGACAAAAAAATTTGAGTTTTTCTGATTTCTTCAAAGAAATTTTATCAGGTCATTTGAATCGTGTTTCACAGCAGCGTGCCAATAACCATTTCTTGGTTTCTCAAATGAAATTTTAAATAGTAAGGAAGCCTAAGTAGGGAAAATGAGAAAAAAAAAAGATTTTTTTTTTTTAAAATTATAAAATAGAATGTTCAAGTATAAATATATGAAAATAACTCCTAAATATTATATTGATTATCCTAGTATAAAAGAGAGAGAAAAAAAACCTAACAGATCAAAATAATCGATATTAAACGCGTTTCACTCAAATCAAAACTTTTCAAGCTGGTGGGGCTATTTTAACCAATCCTTTTCAGAAGTCTATTTTTTTAATTCTAGGGAGACAAAAACAGTCATCGATGAGCATCAAAAATAATTAAGTTATTATAATTGTTGTTATTTTTTTAGGATCAAAGTTTACTTTTTTCACTGAAATATATTGCTTGTTTTTGTTCCAAACACGGATACTTTATTGAAAAACTTACTTTTTCAGGATTCTTTAGCTTACTTCATGTACAAAAAAAATTTTTTTTTGCGTTACAATGAAAACTGACAGCTCTATTTATTCCATCGATTAAGAGTATGAAAATTTTGCTTCGGTATGCAAGAGGTGAGTGTGCAAGTTTTTAAAATAGTTTATTTTTTTTCAATTTTTGTAAGGGAATTTATATTTTTTAATTTTATACGACATTTTTATTTGTATTTTATTATAACAAAATCTTAAAAATCATCTTATAGTTAATTAGAGAGATTCAGTTATTTTACCGTAATTATAACTGTAAAAATTACGGTATGTCAGATTTTTTGTTAAATGACATCTTCAGGTGAAAATGGATTTTACGGTAAAAAATACCGCCAGCATAACTTCTATCTGGAGTAAAAGTTAAGTTTTACATGAAAGATTTTTTCAACTTAAATTTTTTATTAGTTTTCTTGAGTTATGTTATCTTTTATTTATCAATTTTAGAAGAAATTTATTTTAACTTAAATTAGATCAAATATACTTTACTTTTTATATTTTACATAAGAAACAGACTAAGTGAACAAGCACTTCCTTACAAATGTTATCAAAGTGTTTTTAACCAGAGTTTATTACGAAATTCATTTAAATACATAAATTAATTGCTTCTGGTATTTCTCCAAAGCTAAGAAATTATATATTAAGAATATATGTACTTTAAAAATATCAATAAGAGAAAGTGTGACATAAAAAAAAATCTTAATGCCCTTTTTTTTTTTTTTTTTTTTATTAATATTNAAAAATCTTAATGCCCCCCCCCTTTTTTTTTTTTTGCTATTGTATTTATTTCACGTAACATAAAAATTATACATTATATGATAAAAACATAGTTAGTTTTAAATTAAAATCTTCTTTTTAACTTATTAAGTTATTTTAAACTGATCATAATTATAAATATTACGATCGGATAATATTACATTATTTTTTATGCTATCATGCTATCATGCTGACTCCGTAAGAGCTTATGGAAGTTAAAATTTTAGAAAATTAAATTGAACTTATTGTATTAGAAAAAATACTACATTGTTTTTTTTGTGATGTATCTCAAATTTAATTTTTCTTAAACTATTAAAAGGAAAATAAGGTTTACTATAAGTCAAAAACTACTTGAAAAAATATATCTTCCTAATTGCTGCTGGTGATAACACAAACTAATTTTCTTAACCCTTTCTTAACATTTTACTACCTTTTAACATTGGTACTATTTTTTATTGACATTTAAAATAGACTAAAGTAAAGAGGGGAAAAGTTTAGAGAGGTTTTAGAAAGTTTGAGACATGACAGTCAGCGTTTTTGGCATCAATCCAGTTAGAAACAATGGTAAAAATGTTCTAGTTCAATTTTTGTTTCGCTAAAAAATTTAACTCTCCCACTCTTCAATTGGTTATGCTAAGAACGCATTAAGCTATATTATAGTAAGTTTTTGTAAGATAAATTCCACTATGATATATATTCCATTATTATATTAATATTACTTAGTGATATCGTTTAATAATTTGAGCTGTAAGAAGTGCGGAAAGATATTTGTCTAAGTAATGCGGATTTCATTTAATAATTGAGTATCGATTTTTATAATGCGCATAACTATTAGAGATTGTTTTTTTATAGCATTTTTCCACGGATGATATTAATTCATTATTTTAATTACGGGAATCAATTTATTAATTTTAATTTACATAATTTTAATTGAAGAGCTTTTTAATTTATAACTTTTGTTATTATCATTTTAATTAAAGAAAATTTTAATATATTTGAGATAATTTGTAATTTTTTTAGTATAAATTCTAGTGTTATGAATGAAGGAATAAAAAGCAAATTTATTTAGAGGAAGTGAAAGAGTAAACTATATACAACGTTTGAAACAAGAATTTAAATTTTCATTCATTTGTTAAACATGACGAAATTTTAGATGCAAGTTTATTTTTTGACATTTTGAAGTGTGTGTTATCAGTAGAACACCTTTTTATCGACTTTTTAAAAAACATGACAACTTTAGGAAACATAGGTACTTCACTAAATTTTACTATCCTATATAAACGAAATATAAAATTGATATAAATTCCTCAAGTGCTGAATTATCGAAGTAAAGTTGAATAAGAAAATAACAAAATAGCTGATGAAACGAATAATCCAGCGTAGAATTAGGCGGCAAGTCAACCTGAAAATAAAAAGATCGTTTGCTTCATAATTGAAATCGAAGAAAGATCGACTTATTCCAGCGTATTAATACGACGCTCCTCGTCGGGAAGTTAACATGTGAATGATGAAAGCAGAAAAGGTTCAATCGTGAAAGAAAATTTTCCATCCCATTCTTTGGTTTGCAATTGGGAATATTCCTGCTACTGTTTTAATTTAATGTTAATTTATTTCTGTTTTCATCATTCACATGTTATGACCACCGATTGAAACATGTTGACCTTTCTTCCATTTCAGCTACAAAATAAAAGAAGTTTTTTTTTAAAGTAGTTATTGCTTAAAAGAATGGAATGATTTTCTACCTTGTTTATTATTTTTTTTCTTTCTTTTCTTTCAAATAAACTTTAAACAAATGCTACCAATTTAAGCATGGGCTAGCTGGATGACAAGTGTTCACAATAGCCTGAAAAGATTTCACGTAAATGGGCAATCGCTTGACCAGGTATTGTACCAACCAATTTGAAAGGTGGGATATTAGCGTTCTAGTAAATGCTGTAGGTCTGTGCAAAGCGCGTTTGACTTGATCATAAATGTATAAAAAAATTCAATTTGAAAATGTATTGTAATCACTTTCAGATTAAACAACGAAAAAAAATTGATTTTTTTTCTAAAGTGCTACAGTATAAAAAACTCTCTTTCAAAAACTTTTTGTTCTTTATGTTCTCTCTTAAAAATGTGTTGTTTTGATTTCTCGTACTAAAATAGTGTCAGCTGGTGTCAGTAGTGTCAACCATCACCAATAGTGCTTTTTAGCATGTTGTCTAAACAGTTTCAAAAAAAGCATTTTTCGTTTTCTACAATTCATTTAACATGAGCTAGAAGAATGATTTGGAAAAAAATGTATCTAAAAAAATTGTAACCAATAGTTAAAATTTTTAATATGTTATTGTTTGGATTTATCTAAGCTAGTTATAATCGTGAACAATCTGTGTTAAAACAGATACATACATTTTTCACAAATGACAAAACAAGTACAAAGAAGCTACTAAAAGTCGGATAAAAAGCTTTACCCATAATATTGTAATCAAATACGCGAAAATAACAAATCGATTTTATATATATTCATGGCTATGTTGGCGGGAAAATTCACGCAATAATCATCGACATTTGTCTTTTTGAAATTGAAACTATTAAGGAGTTATCCAATGAGTGATGAATAATTTTGTAAAATATTGGTTTTTTTCTTTTAATATGGAAAAAAAAGCAAAAATTAATCAACATTAAATCATCAATTAAAAATAAGTGGAAAAAAAACTCTCATTCAGTTGAATCATTAAGAATTGTTTTTATTTACTTGACTTGATGGAAATTTTTATTTAAGTTCTGATATAATAGAAAATTGAATTAAAATTAAAGTAAAAAAATTTCAATTCAAATACAATAAAACTACTCAAATACAGTACTACAAATACAGTAACAGAGCCTACAAACAAATAAAACTTCGGATGTATTTATAATATTAGAAGAAAATTTCTAACAAACTAATTGAAAAATGAAGTTAAAGAAAATTGATTGAAGTACTATAAAGAAATAAAATTGAAGAATAAGTTGGAAAAAATTTTAAAATCAAGTACAATAAAACCATTCCTTTTAACAGATTCTACAAACTTGATGTAAATTGTTACTTAAGTTTTGATATAATAGAAAATTGAACTAAAAAATAAAATAAAAACATTTCAATTCAAATACAATAAAACTACTCAAATACAGTACTACAAATACAATAATAGAGCCTACAAACAAATAAAACTTCATATGTATTTACAGTACTAGAAGAAAATTTCTAACAAAACTAATTGAAAAATGAATTTAAAGAAATTGAATGAAGTATAAAGAAATAAAATTGAAGAATAAAGTTGAAAAAAAATTTAAATGAAGTCCAATAAAACCTTTCCTTTTAACAGATTCTACAAACAAGTGAATATTCGTATGTTTTTCTAAGATCAATTCAAGATTTCTTTAAAACTAAATAAAATATTTTTCTAAACAACAGATAATACATACATAAATACAGTATATTTATAATTAAAGTATTTTTGTTTAGAGAATCGATTCAAAGAAGCACTTTTCAAAGCCTAAGTCTTACCAACAATATCAATATTTATGTGTCACTCCAATCAAATGGTACTGAAGAAAGAGTCTTATTGAAAGGGATACTGTTATAAGAATACTTACGTAATCATCTCTTTTATGTGTATTTCGGCCACTGATGGGAAGCATGGATATATCAGTGGCCGAAGATGTGAGGGAGTCGGCCGGGGATGCACTCCGTGACCTCTCCCTCTCCGGCAGGTTCAGGTGGCTCATCTCACTCATTTGAAGCTCCATCGTCCTCTGCTGTTCCTTTACATCTCCTCTAGCTTTGCCTCCAACTGACAGCGCCCCATATCGTATTCTCAGAGAACTACTGCTCTCTTATATTCCCGCTGCCACATGTGAATTTGAAATATATTAATTTCTTGTCATCATCTTAGTTATTCTTAGATGTGTTACTTACTTTTTGAGTCATGTTTTTTCTGATTCCCCATCCCGTAAGAAACTTTTTTAACTGACCAGAGTGGACGAAATTGTTCCCTTTGGGTCATTCGCTCTCTTGTTAAATGAATAACCTTGAAATTTCACTCAATCATTGTTCTAGATCTTCGCTACAATTTTAATTTTATGGTAGAAGTTAATGTTATTTTGTATAAGGAAATAAATTACATTTCTTCGTCTGCATTTTTATTATTTTTCAAAAGAAATAAAATAACATAAATAATTTGAACTTTAGAAATTATCCCTTTTTTTTCGACTGCAATAAATATTAAATAGTTAGTAGACCAGAAAATACTGAAGTATCACATGTGCAAAGGTTTTATGCATTAATTTAAAACTAATATAATTTAAAAAATTATTGCACTCATCGCTAATTATATTATGTAGTTTCAAATCCCCCCCCCCCAAAAAAAAAGTGCCGTAACATTTATTTAAGCCAATAACTTTTGTAACAAATATTAGTAATTTCTCAAAGAAGCTATTCAAAGAATTAGCACATTTAGGCTATATTATTATATTAAAAATACTATAAAAAATGGATGATTAGGCAGTATTTTATTTTTATTCCTTCACTATGATACGCTACTGACATAAAATTCTTCACGCTAACTTTAGTTTATGTTTTTTGCTGATTTAATGTAATTTTAAAAAAATGATGACTTTTTGATGATTTTTTTAAATTTTCGCTAAGTTTTCTTAAAACTTTTTAATTTCTTTTAATACGAAATTATATAGGGACAGTCTTTATGACCAGTTAGGACTTTTTTCACTGCTTCATGTCTTCCTAAAATAAAGTTATTGTTTTAATGAATTTTTGGCTATTTTAGAATCTAGAGAAAACTAATTAACCTTTAAGTTACTTACTTAGGCTCTTAAGGAGGTGATCATGAATTTTAAGGGAAAATTGGGGAGGGGGGAATTATGAGCACAAGTTTATGCACATTCTCGAACAGTTGTTGACTCTCGGTCAGTCTCTAGAAACCCTGGCCATTGCTTTTCCTTTCATACACACGGAATGGGTCGTGATTAATGTAAAACATCAGTTCTTAATAGTCAGGTGATGTAAATTTTCGCACCTAATTCACTGCTTCTAATTTTTTATAAAAAATGTTGAAAATTTTCGGAATTGTGTTAGGTTGAAGCAATGAATGAAAGTGTTAGGCTTTTTTGAATGATTGATAAGCGAAAATGTCTCTCCATAAAACCTAGATATTAGTCCCTTCTTGGTTTGCCATCCTTAAAGAGCGTTACCGAATTTGCCTCCTGACAACAAGCATTCTAACAAGTTCTTGTCGCTCTTTAATTGTTAATGTTGTTGGGCTACTCGTTTTATGATTCTCTGAACTAACTTTTCCAGATATTCGCTGCTGGATTTTAATATGCTACATTTCAGCTTTTCACTGATTCAGTTTCTTCTTTTTTTTTCAACCAGAACACTGTTTTTCAGAATTTTTTCAAGAAGTAAGAAGGACAAGGCTTCTTTTTTGTGCATGTTCTAAAAAATTTTTTTTTTGCTACGGAACACAAAAAGTAATTAATTTTGGGATAACAGGAAAAAGTCATAATTACCCCATTCCGGCTAAGAAAAAAAATGACTAGTCGCTAAATAAAATATAGGATTAAATTACGGCACTCAGGGTGCTGGTACTTTTTACCGTGAAATCCATTTTCATCGCAATATGTTTCGGAACAAAAAAACTGATATACTGTAATTTTTAATGTAATAATTACCGTAAAATAACTGCATCTCTGTATTTAAATTAATATTAATATAAAAATTACGGTTTAATATTTTGCGGTAAAATTCTTATTCATAAATTTTAATTCAGAGATAAAATAAAAATAAAAACTTGAAAAAAACATCATGGACTTAGTTGCAAATAGATTTAAAACTAAGTTTTCTCACAAAAATTTTCTTCATTGGTTGAAATCACTTTAAATGAGCATCTACGAAAACTGCTTTTCGTGGATTTATGTAGTTTCCTAAAATTATTTAAATATTGACTCGATATATTTATCTCAGAACAATTGAAAAGTACTTGAAACAAAATGTACTCACAACACTGAATTTTTACCTAATGCGAAGTTCTTAAAAATGGAGCTGGTCACAATTACCCCACATAACCCGAATTTGGAATTTCTATTTTTACTTCAATTTCGAAATTTTTATTTCTTATCTAAACTCGCAAGTTTGCTGAACTATAAACTTTGGAAATGAAAAATCTTTTTACCCGAGTACTCCAGTAAAAGTCCCACAGTTTGTGAACATTATGCTTTGGTTTTTGAACTAGTTTATGAGTATTTCATGTAATATTTTATCATTTATAGCAGTCAATAAATAAATTAAAAGTCGAGTCTTGTTATTTATTTATAATTTATTTTCACAATTTTTTTGTTAAAAATAATTTGATTTTGCGAATTCAAGGTTGATAAATTGAAAGTTGATTTTTATTATTTCTTTTTGCAATTTTTCAGTTAAAAATAATTTGATTTTGTTAAATTCCCAAATTATTTCATTTTCCTGTATATTGTAATCAGGAACTAGAAAGCGGTGTCATTAATGCTAATACAATAAAAATACTGTCGTCTTTCTGAGGACATAACATTTCGAATTACAATTCTTCTTATAACTTATATTATTTTAGAAACAAAGTTAAATCGAAGTAAAAATTTTAAAAATAAAAAGATTATAGTTCAATATGAAATTTTTATAAGGTCACGTACTCAATTTTTGGATAAGGAATACTATTAATCTCGTTTTCCGTATTATGACTTTATTTATTTGTGCTGAGTTAAAGGTATTTATAAAAAACGTCTGGTGATTTCACAATACGGCAAATTTAGGAGAATGTTTCTCTTTTGAACAATAGTACCCTAGTTAAGAGAATACTGAAATTTATTTTGCCTTACGGAGAAAAATGCAGATCAAGATCTGATTCTTTCGTATGTGACTTTCAGAGGAATCAAAAATTTTTTTGGAGTCAAAATGCTCCCTGGATTCAAAAACTATGTAATACATCAATGTTCACAAATTTTCTGTTTATTATTATTATTATCCAGGCATTTAGAAAAGCCTTTTAAAAATCCAAATTTTAAAGTCTTAAAATGTCCTGAGTTTTTTTTAACATTAGAATAGAAAAAATTTAAATTTAAAAGTGCTATATATAATATACTTATGTCGAGAAGGGATGCACATCTTACGTCCGGAAGGGCTGCGGCGAGAAGGAATCTGCATCATTTTTCATGTATATATACCATCTTTTTCTGAGTTATATTAAAATATTGTTGTGTTGTATATCCTTGTCAGGTGTGCTTTGTTTTTTTAATGGAGTCCGTTTACTCAATATCATCTGTTGAACAATTTTAAATTTTTATTTTTTGCATCACAGGATCAATTTAAAAACGGTTTTATGTAAATATGAAATCCTGGTCGCCTTATTTTTCAAAAATATTCAGATATGTCAAGAAATATTTAAAGAACACTTTTTTAAAAAAAATAAATAATAATATTTGTCCAAAACATGCTAAATTGAGAACATAGATGGAGCTAACATATAAAATACGATTTGAGTCAGGTTTCTTTACACTAGATTGCCCAAGGAAGTCATTTTGACTGCTATTTATTTTCAATTAGAAAAACAATGATGTATATAATGACACAATTTCTTAGAATTTTGTGACTTTTATAATTATTTTTACTGTTGATATATTTGCTAATAATTTGTTATATAACTGAAAATAATATAAAAAATTAATTTTAAACAAATTTCTTTATACATTAGTTACTTATTCACAATGCAGTCATTTTGACTGCTTTTAGGCAATATAGGTATTTCAGTCTTTATAGTGTTAAAAAGGCACTGTCAATAAAATCTGATAATTTAATATCATCTTAGAGACTGTTAAGACTATTTTTAAATAATTTTTCGAGCGTGGAATTAATTTAAAACAGAAAATTATTTGAAAGATTGCACGCCATAATTTCTGAAAATAGACTCAAATTTTTCGCATCGTAAGATTTATTTAAAGCAGATCTTTTAGTTTCGCATGCCATTGAAGCAGGTATCTTAGGAAAAAAAATTGACGTCATATTTCTCTGAAAATATCTATAAGGTTAAAGTGCCTAAACGCTACACGATTTCATGTAAGTTTGTCGCAATAAGGTGAAAATCGACTATTAAATATATTCGCAGAAAAAGGCTGAAGTAGTACGACTTCGGTTCTAAACAACTTCGGTTCTTCAGAAAATAGAATTACTATGTGCAATCTAAGCCAAGATTGTCATTGTCGCATTTGTGACATTTTTGTCACCTTCAAGGTAGTAAGACCTTAAATGCAATGCTTCAAAGTACCTAAATGCGACATTACCTTTTTACTACTATTACTAAATTCCCAAGTCTGCACCGCTCTCTGCCTAAACCATTGAGGCCATAGTTTTCGGATTTCATTCCCCTTTTTTGTGGTAAAAAAAAGAATGGGGAAAAAAGCATGTTTCTTCAAATATAGTAGATTATTTTTTGTCTGATTTAATGAATTAAAACACCATCTGCACTAAATAATTAGCATATTTAAGGTTAGACAGTCGAACCATTAAGATTGATTATTAATACGTGAAAATCTGATCATAAAATCAAAAATTATTAAAGATGTTATCACAGTACATACACGCGTACTTGGCGTGCAGAAACTTAATCATCGATTGTAATTTTTTGTCGATAATAAGGAAAAAATTTGTGTACTTCAATTACATTTTGGAAATTATTTAACTAATGTACAGTGTGCAAAATAATAAAGCGAACACTGCGAATAACTTTTGATCTAATGATCGGACTTTCATGTACTAGGACTAAG